TATATTTCTAGGTTAAATGAACTTTCTTTGTAGCTGTTTGATGTGAGAATTAGTGAAATATTTGCACCTTTACCTCTTTTGAAAATCTGAAATATTTGAACCTTTAAACTTCAGTGGTCTAATATTGCCAGAAAGCACATAGAAAAAAAAAGGAGATGACAGCAGAGGAAGCACACAGGCCTTGTGTGATCCTTTTCTTAATAATTTTGTGTTTCTGCAGCAAAACAAACTCGTAGTTAATGATGGTGAATCTAGATGTTGCTGCAACAGAAATGAATTATTTAATCAGAATTGTTTGTGGGTAGAAGGAGAAACACTGGCAAAATTCACCTGGCTTGAATCATGATAAACTTTCTCTCAAGACCACRGGTTGTTTTCTAAATGTTCCTCATCTCTTACAGATAGTCTTGATTTATTGTGTCCCYGAGGGTGTATATTTGAGTTTTTCTAACATGTAGCTTAATATGTGTGTATAGTCTGAATCAAAAACTAGTGTTTCCTTGGCTAAAATAGAAGAAGGATGAGACAATAACTTGTAGAAAAGAAGTATAACCAGCCCTTAGCATCAGCTTGCTTCTCTTTTCCAACTCCATCCTGCTGGAGAAGGTGGCCACCTGCTACCCCATCTCCGAAGTGCCACCACCAATGTAGTCTTTTCCTATGATGCTTTCTCTGTAGCTATTTGCTATGGAGCTAAAGCACCCCCATGGATCCTGTTGAAGAATTGGAGTCCGAAGGAGCAGGAGAGATGGAGACCGGGATGTGTTTGTTGGGGTGATTGCAGCTCGGCTCAGCCCAGGGAGCTTGGGCAGCACCGGCCCYTACTCGCTAGTGCGGAAATAAAAATATAACTCCCACATCAGAGGACAATTTTCCTGACTAAATATTTACAGTCAGCAGTGCATTGGCTTGCTATGTGGAGCAATAAATTTACTACATTAGCTAGTATATTTATTTTTTAATTATTTATTTGAAGATGATTTCAATTTAAAATGAGGTTTCAGGTAACAAGGTATGGAAGCATGTTCAACAATCCCATGATATAAATAGCACTAGGTGACAGATCCTTACAAAAATTATTACAGGCAGATCCGCAATGTGAAAATTATTTATATGACAGCAAGCAGAAAGACAAATTACTCAGAGACTATGTACATGCTCTTCTGTAATTGCTCATAAATTATTATGGTTCACGTTAAAATGCATCTAGAATCCCCAGACAAATAGGTTTCTTTAAAACAAGAATAATGGCAAATTACCAGGAAGCAGAGGGGGGAGATGTGGTGTGGGGGTAGGATGGGAGCTACTGCGGAAGTGCAGCAACTTGGTGACGGCCAAGTCACCCTGTTTGGGTTCACGGGTTGGAACCTTCCAGAACACACCAAGGCCYTCAGGGACCTGTGGCTGTGAGGGTGGATGGTGGCCGCCGCTGCCGCCTGCTCTCCTGTGTCCCCTCTGTCCTGCCCTGAGGTGACACCAAGGTGCTCCCGGCTGTGGGGACGCGTCGGGCCCTGCCCACGCAGGGCCCTCACATGGAGACTCTTGAGCCTCTGGGAATTGCGCGTGGTCACCAGGGCGGGAAGCGGCTCGCCTGGAGCTAGGGGCGGCTGGCCAACGGGCAAGGCGCGTCTCCTTGGGAAGCCAGGCTGCAAAGGGGGTGATATTTCCATAGCCTCTCCGTGGTCTGAATTCTAGAGAATATTTCAAATAATTGTCTTTATTGAAAGYGTCTAAAACCCACCCACAATAGAGGGATTTGACTTGAATGAGCTTTCAGTCAGGCACTTATTAAGGATCCACTGATTATTGGGTAGCAGAGAATAGATGTATATTCATTTATTATATAACAAGTGCCTCTCTTTAATGCCATTATTTTTGTCGTCTTACATTACACACCGAGAGGCCATCCTGATAGAAATGAGAGCAAAGTTTGTCCTTGCTGGCAGAGGGCTCAGTGCCGCGAAGCGGCTCCAGTGGCGGCAGCACCAGAGCCCTGTCCCACGAGCCAAGCAGGCCCGACCTGCATTTTGTCTTCACAGGTTCATGCAGGGGGACATTTATGGCTGTGTATTTAACAAGGAGAAAAAGCRTGGGGAAGGAGGCGTCTTCTGTTTGATTAGTCTTTCTTCAATAATTAAGATTTAGCTGCCGAGCTCTGTGAAGCTTCTCCCTTCTGCAGATGTTGGCAACCATTACAGAGCTTTCTGCAGCTCATTGCTCTGTTCCCAGGACATTCTCCTCTCTGTGATGGGAGCGACGGGCCCATGTGGCAGCGCTCAGGCTCCTGCTCCCATCACTGCTGCTGCCTTCCTCTCCTAGTCCAACCCTCCTTATCATAGCCAGCTGCAAATAGTCGAGAAAATTGATCTAGCATCAAAYGTCCGTTTCTTGCTTTTCTTTGGAGATGCAGACCTTGAGTGAGAGTTGACCAACAGAGTCTTGTTAACCCATGCGAGCAATGTGGGCATCGCCAGCCCCTCGGTCTCTCTCTGCCCTCTGTCCCATGGGCAGACTTTAGCCAGTCTATTGACTTGGCTGTAAATTACCAACTTTATTTGGATCTCTTTTCATCTATTCCAGTGTGCTTTCTTCAGCATGTATATGCTGAAGCACATACTGAGCAGCTCTAAGTTGGAATATATAACAATAGAGAAGTACATGCTAGAGGTGAGATGTTTTCAAATGAAAGTAGATGATGAGGCAGATCGAGTGATGCTGAAGGATGTTTGAGCTTTCAGCTGTGCATTGGTAAGTCGCTGGATGTCGATGTGGGAGAAATATTTTCTTAGAAAGAGCAAGGTTTTCAGTTTCCAGTGCTGCATTTCCATTTCAGGTCAATAATGCGCTCTATAGCTCTTCCTAATGGCTTGTACATTGAGACTGCTGTGGGTTTCTGGAAACCAGCGCCTTTCCGCTTGACCCTCAGGTTTGCATGTGTGTCTCAGGGCAAAGACTCTTTGCTGTTATCTGGCTTTGCTGAGCCAGCATCTATTGGAAAGCGTTTGATGGCCTCGCATGATTAGATTGACAGAAGATTGACAGAATTAATTAGACTGTCTGGATTAGTTTGGATCTGCACCCCTACTCATTGCAGCCTTAGGCTTTTACTGGTGTGACTGTGAAATTTCAGCACAAAAGGGTGCCCTTGAGAGTGTCTGTGTGTCCTAAAGAGTAAGGGTGAGCAGTGTGGAGAGCTCAGCATTTCCTTTCACCTCCCGCGCCGAGGAAACAAGGCTGCAAGTCTCACCGGGCCCTAATTGTGAAGCTGAAAGAGCAGAGCTGGAGAAAATCACGGAGCTGTTGTGAGGAACCCATTGATATACTCAAAGCAAAAGCCTTCTAAGCCACCCATATAAAGTCATTTATGACATCAGAACCATGTTTCAAGGTAAAAAATATGTGTGGTGGATTTGTAGGCCTGGGCAATTCGGGTTCTTCTTCCAGCTCTGCTGCTCATTGCCCCTGTCTGTGTAACACCGAAGCAGAGACAGGTGAGTGTGGGGCTTAGTGTGACCATAGCAAGGGGTTGTTGGGATAGTAATGTGCTGATAAAGTGTGCCATGTGAAAGCTGAAGGATGTTATAAAGGTGCAGGCGATGCAGGCGAAAAACTGAATTGTCCGAACACATTAGTCAATGAATTTCAAGTAACAATTAGCCAAATTTGTCCTGGTTTTTTTGTAGGACTAAGCTCTGAGATGAAGGATGCGGAGAAAGAAGTGCTATTGCACTAATAAAAGGAAGAAAAGGCTTTTAAAATATTTTTTAAACTTTTTAATTTTTTCCCCACCATCCTTTAATTTTATGTCAGTAACTGTTGTGGTTAGAAGCATTATGAACCAGTTTAAAATGTCTCTCAGTTACTTGGTTCTGGTGGCCACGATACAGGGGAAGCTGCTACGATGCAATGTGCAATTAGAGCCTCCATTTAGCAAGGCTGCGTTTGAAGCATTCAGGAGGAGCCTAAATTAATCATAGACACATAATTAAGAGGTAGTACAAGCCACTAAGAGGAACCCAATTTGATATTCTACCATGTGTACACTGCTGGATCTGTGCATTTTTTAGGAAGTAAAACTCAGCTAATAATTGGCTGCTATTGAAGATGTATGTGAAATAAAGAGTATGTGAGAGGATCTAACATTTAGAGTTTGAGAATTGGTGCTAGAAACGCACAAGAGGCAAGTTGACCTGTAGCTGGGTGAATTTGAGACAGCTACATCAAGGTTAAAGATGTTCCAATTACATATAGCTGTATATGAGCAATAAATTATACAAAGTACCCATTTGATTGATTGAAGATCAAGTGAAGTATAAAAACCTAGAGCCCAGAAAAGTGCTTCAAATGTCTTTGCTGAACAGAACATCAAAAGATCCCCTTTCATGTTTGCACTGTTCCTTTCTGCAGCTTGATTGYGTTGGTCGCATGTTGTGATTGTACCTCAGTGTGTATCCTGCTTCCCGTGTCAGTTGGAGTCGGGGGCAGAATAAAAGACCTGTGTGGACCTGCTTTGAAAATAAAATGGTGTGTGTCACATCTGACACTGATGTTTTTTGTGTGTAACAGATAATTAGCAAGGGGCAAATGGGGAAGTTTTATGAGAGAGAATGAGATCAGATGTCAAAGTAAATTTTCCTCCAGCAAGGAGCTAGAGAATTCAAAACTGGTTTATTGGGTCAAGCAGTTAAGGTGAAAATGCTTGGATTATTTATTAAAGAGTTAGTGTTTGGGTATGAAAATAATGACTCCCTAAAGAAATGGAATTGAGGAGATCTAATGTGTTCTATTAATTGCCTACACGCTTTGCGTTTACGTGTAACGTAAAAAGGTTTATAAAACACTTGAACTGCCGATAGCTGCATTGGGTTTTTCAAGTTTCTGTAAAATAAAGGTTCTTTGATGATTTGCATTGCATTTCACAGGCTGCCTCTCAACTATTTTGAAAAAAAGAAATATATATATATGTATCTAATCTTTCTTTATTATTGTTTTGCTTTCAGTTGATGGTTGCATTGACTGGTCAGTGGATCTCAAGACATACATGGCTTTGGCAGGTGAACCAGTCCGAGTGAAATGTGCCCTTTTCTACAGCTATATCAGAACTAATTATAGCATGGCCCAAAGCACAGGTCTTAGGCTTATGTGGTACAAAAACAAAGGAGATTTAGAAGAACCCATTATATTTTCTGAAGTTAGGATGAGCAAGGATGAAGATTCAATATGGTTTCACTCGGTTGAGTTGCAAGACAGTGGTTTCTACACCTGTGTCCTAAGGTGGGTATTGTGTTAAAATATAACTAAGAATGTGCACAATGTTTTGTTTAAAGCAATGTTCAAATGTAGCTCTCAGTGTTGAGATAGTCTGCTAATTAATATACATTTTTTATTACTTTCCTTGTAATTATATGTGTGACATTGATACTGCCTTAAAATTACAGTTCCTCTAGTAATTATTGTTACCTTTCCCAATAGCTATAATTAAACCTGTAGTTGCACTTCTTTTTTCACTTCACCTGTTTCTTTTATTGTTATTTAAGTCCAACATTCCTAACTTCTCATTTTGCCATGAGCCTTCAAACCTGGGTAATTCTTTAATAAAACACCAAGTCTTTTTGTTAAGTAGTGCTCTTTCATATTTTCTGAGTGAAGAATGACAATCATAAATGAATTTGCTAAGTTAGCTAGGTCTTACTGCCTTGTTTCAGCCTTCCTCTAGCCTTTCTGCTCCTGAGAACTTGTGCTAAACTCCCAGCTCTGTGGATTAAGGGRTGGTTTGTAATGTGAACCAATGTCCAAGCTGAATATTAGATGAATTGGCCAACCTTCAAGTCTCTGAGGGAGCCTTTGAAGTTCATTATACCCGTACTGGCTCTTATGATACAGGTTTGGTGTAATGTGAATTCTGTAATTTGGAAATATTACAGGAGGATAGTGATTTATTTGTTTCAGGAAAGTTGCACATTTTTTTTAAAGTACCTGTGATGATAATCAATTTACCAGTCCAATACATTTAGAAATTTTATGCAAATACTATGTGAACAATGAAGAATTGATGTTTGGTCCAATTTGGGACATGTTTTTATCTGAGCCTTTTATCAAAACCCTTTGCTCATTAAACAGGACAAGGTAGTTTTGGTAACAAACGGGCAATTTCTTAAATAATTCATGCATTCTCCTCATTTTCAGATAAAAACTATATGAACCCTATGGAAAGTATTGCACAGAAATATCGTTAGCTGCTTAGCCTAAAACTAACTTTATATAACAGCAGGTATTTTTGCCTTTTTCAGATTTATGTGGGAGTGTAGTACATTTTATATTTATATATGTGTATCTGTGTATATATATATGGTTGTGTATGTGTATATGTATACATATGTATGTATATATGTATATATATGTACAGATACGTATAATACCACATTTCATCCTTGCATATACTTATTTTTTCTTCCAAAATTTTGGTAATATATCCTTKCTGTTATTGTTTATAAAGATTATAGGTGGCTTAAAATAACTGAGGGAATAGCAATATTGTGTTTATTTTAGTTTCATTAAATTTGTGTTAGATATAATGTTATGAAACATAATCACACGCCTTTGGTGGACTATCCACACCACTAACTGTGAAATTTCAGTGCTCTTAATCCTTTGTTYTTGGTAAGCAGCTGTTTGTGTTTTAGTCATTAACCAGGATCACCTGCTTTTTGAKAATTAGAAGGTCACAGATGATAGCAGTAATTGGAGAATATGTTTGCAGCTTTCTAGAAGCATTGACTATTTGTGTTAGAAATGCTTTCTTTTGTGAACTGAAGGAATAGAGCCTAGTAGAAAGAACTCAGTGCAGTGGAAAGGAAGAGGCAGCCGTGTCTGTTGGTATGCAACACTGGCTTCAAGGCTGCACATGCATAATTGATTCTTCTGGTTTAGGAGTTGAAGGAGGGGGGAAAAGGGGAGAGAAAAATGTATTTGGCTCAAGGTGAATTTCATTTTTTTCATGCCAGAGCCTCCCCCCTCAAAATTATTTAGATTCTCATACAGAGAACTGAAATAAATGTAGATGGAAATCGCTGCCTTTGTGAGCACCTCTGGAGGATGTGGGAAGCYTTGGTGTGAGGGGTGATATCTCCTTGTGTGCCCCTGTGGCCGGGGTGTTCTATAACCACTGGGTCAGGTCTCTTTTCTGGCAGTTTTATTTGTCTACGAGAAAGGGAGCAAGGGAGTAAGATGCTTGAATATGGTGGGGAAAATTCCCATGGGAAGGGAATTCTGGAAGGGCTCTGCTTCAGAGAAYGTTATTTTCCTTAGGCTAAGCAGAGTAAGTGGGGATGAGAGGTCCCGTTCCCAGAAGAGCTTATGGTGCTTTCTGTGCAAGGAAGGACATAGTCTTGATCTGAGAAGATCTCTGATAGAGGAAAGCAATTGGAAAGCCAAGAGTTTTTAACAAGTACAATATAGAAGATGCCATTGGTAATAGCAGCACTTAGTCTAATTCAGTCTCCCCTAAATTATTACCTTTTGCCCCATCAAAACAATTTGGCAAACATGAAAATTGCATTGTAAAAATGGTAATTGCATTTTTCAGTGAGTTTTCTATTTGCTGAAAAGGTGCCTTAGAGTTCGAATAAAACCACTGGTTTTCAAGAAGTTTGATTTTCTGGCTGCTGATGGGTGCTTGCAAGGTCACGGCATGATGTTTTAGAGGCAATTGGAAGGAATTTTGCAGGAGCTGTTTCAGGAAGATGGCCATGAGCAGATGAAGGAAAGGCTGATAGACCAGTGACTGAGAGATGGGCAAAAATTAACTGTGCCAGTGAGTTATTTCTTATACAGAAATGCCCCTTTAGTAATTATAATGTGTGTTGTGTAAATGAACCCATAATGAATAAAATTAATACCAGAGTAGTGTTTATGAAAGAGATTGCTTCTCCAGGCAAAAAAAAAAAAAAAAAAAATCTGATGTCGTAATTTTAAATGTTGCCTGTTTTAAATGTTAACCAGTTGCTACATTGGCATTTGGAAATTAATTAGTGGGGGAGAAAGGCTGCTTACGTGTATTGTTGCGTTAGAGCTCACTTCCTTTTGCTCACAGTACGTTTTGACATTGAGCTCGTAGTGAGATGCAGGCCAAAGGGTGGTACCTTCCTGCAGTGCTCAACGTCTATGAAGGTTTATGGGATTCTGATTCTGCAAAGAGTTAGATGGCGGTGGTCTTCAGCCCTGTTAGGAAATTGATGAGAATTCCATGGAACCGAAGTGTTCACAGATGCCTTTTTTAGTGCCAAATGAGGGATATTAAAATAGCAAGATCCAGTGGTATCCAAAAAGTGCCTYGGTGGACAGGTAGATGCATGTGTGTCGTTACCCCAGATAAAAGCTGGGGTATTTGTATTATGATTTTATGGTGCAGTGTGCAATTGCTACATCCTCTTTGGAGTACAGTCTTTATATATGCTGTTAATCTTTCAGTGGTACGTTTAGCTAAAATCATCATCTTTTCCATTCCAGAAGTCCATTTAGCAGGAGCTTTTCACATGAGCATGCTGGGTTGGGAAGGTTTCAGGAATGACAACGCCAAGACCAAACATGGAAACTAAAAATGATCTAAAGGCATAGGAAGGTCTCAAAGTTCTGGATATGCAAGAATTTCAGTTTCCAGATTATTTGTTGCTTTTATTCTCTGAAAAAAAAAAAAAAAGTTTTTTTTCTGTGTTACAAGCCTCTGTTTTTTAAAGTGGGAACAAGCACTCGGCCTACTTAAGTCTCCTTATGATGGTGAAGGAAGGGAAGGTGACCCAGGGAAGGAAGCTCTTGCCAGTCTAACAGCATCTTTGGTGTCAGCAAGGCACAACACCCAAAATCTTTTCCCCTATGCGGGCCCAGCTGCAAGATAAGCTGAACTGCAGTAAATACTTCATCAGCAAGAGCAAGAGGAACGTGGTAAAGGCAGTATGTATTAGCTSTTAATGAATCCTTAGTGCAGTTAAAGAATTCTCATAACGCAGGTCAAGAGGATCAGAAGTTTGGGCCTAGAGGGTGCAAAGAAAGGAGAAGGTTCCTGTTTGTGGTCCCCAGACTGGCTGCCAGACATCCCTGCCAAGCCCAGGATTCAGAGTGACAAGGGGATAAGGGCTCCTTGAATCCATACAGGGAAATAAGCATGCAGATCTTTCATACCAGTGTGTGATGCCAGRGAACCGCCAGCAAATCTAGTTAGGAAATCTGTTTATCCTTCCTGCCTTACTTTGTCACTCTCTGTGCAGTTCTTAATGTGGAGCAGCTTTGTTATGTGCATGCTCGGAAGAGTAAAGCTTTCGTCGGGCCRTCAGTGAAATATTGCAATATTGCTTTCTGAGCGATAATAAAATAGACTGATAGTGGATTTTAAGCCTTCAGGCTTCTGAGTGCCCGTGGAGCACATGATCAGGAAATCAAAATGAGATCCAGACAGCCTAGAGGTGCTGTCAGTAAAACTTCATTTGCAGCCTAGCCTGTGTGCTCCTGGTTCAGTGAATGTTCGAAGATGCCAAAGGACTCRTTGTAAATCCCTTCAACCAAGGCTGCAGTGTGAGCCGCTCTTCCCAGGAAAAGCGGCATCCACTTTTTCTGACCACTGGCTGCCAAGAGATAGGAAAGACGAATTATTCCAAATCTTGAAGACCAGACAGGAAAGTTAAACTGTGCTATGAAAATGCATAGGGTAAGATCCGAGGTCCKTTGCTCTGCAGCTACCTCTTAAATCTCCTGGTTCTTAAAATGTGCATTTTAACATGATGATTCACTCTGCTGGTTTCAGTGTCTTCTCACTGCAGAATGTGTTACGTTCAGGCACTTGGGATTTATCCAGTGCTCAACTGGCCAAGGTGGCTTTGTAGCTTAAATCCCTTTGAAAATGGTGGTATAGTTCCAATGTAATCACACAGTATCTGCTTCCGTGCACTTCGCTGGCGAAATGCTTTTTTCCACAAACTTCCTCTAAAGAGGTGTAAAGATCCTTGCTAATGCCCTAGTATCTTTGGTCCAAGGGAACGTGTCTCAGTAGCTGCTGCACACCTCGTGGTTACTTCTCCAACCTGGAAGATCATGATCAGCTTTCACACTGTGCATCCCAGGCAGGTTGGTAGGAGCCGGGTGGGTTTCCCGCTTTTTGCAAGGGCATGGGATCAGCAGGGCTTTCTCTTCTAAAACTCTGCTTATCGGTGCTGTGACTTCTTTTCCCACACCGGAAGTGACAGATTCTATATAAACACAATTCCTGCAATATGTATAGTCAA